AGTACATACAGTACACATTATGATTCATAGAAGATCATTAAGTAGGTGATTTTATGGAAGCACAAGTAAGCGAAGCTGCGTATCAGAGAGAAAGCTCATCAGCACTACTGTTGTAAAGTCTGCTATGGCAACAAGAGCTAAAATGACCCCAATAATCCTTGCCTCCTGGTGTTCATGCACTGTCATATTGAAATCTGGCCAGCTTAATTCCTCACTTCTGCCCAGATGAATATGGCAGACATGATGGGATGTTGCTTCTTATCTTAGGCTAAATAAGAGCGTAACTTTCCCCTTGGCTTCCCAGACTTATATTCTTGGTGGTTTTATGAAGCATGTTGTCATGTTGACACATGCAACAAACCCAGGACAGCCCCCATCCAAAGCCAGCCAGGAACCAAGACCCTCGTCTTAACTACCCTTGAAGAACTTAATACTACTAATAAACCTGTGAGCTTGCGAGCAAATTCTTCCCCATCGAGAATTTTATTTTATCATCTTCATTTTAACTTAATTACAAATTTAAACACCCCCATCTCCAAATAGAGCATATTTTGAGGTCTAGGGGTTAGGGCTTCAAAATATGAATTTTCCAGGGAAACCGTTCAGCCCATAACAATTGGCTACCTAAAAATCTGTAATTATTTGTATGTTTATAGCAAAAATGTGGTTGATCTTACTGTGTATAGAGGTCTTTTGCTTCCTTGTTTTTCTTTAATATATTTGTTTCATAAAATTTATATATATATATATGTATCTATATCACATGATTTAGTGTACATATTTGCATGTTCTGGTCTCTATAACAAAACTATAATTCCTATAAGCACATGTCTTTCATATGTTTTACATATAGCACTTCAAAGTATATAAGATAATGTTAATCGATGTATTTTCTAGATATATCTTGTGTTTATTTGTTTACTTCTAAATAAGAATATTCTAGAAGTAGTTTACCTTGAGAATAAGGACTTTTTCATGATAAAGATACTTGAAGAACTTATATTTATTTGAAGTATGTATGTATAGTTTTAGATGGTGCTAGAGCTAGAATATCTATGTAACTATTTGGTCATCCAAATTTAAGGGACACACTACTAGAGCTTCTTCATCCTGTGCTGTTGATTCATCGAGACACCATTTTTCTCTGAGCATTAATAGAAGTATATATACTTAAAATATTTCAAAAAAAAGGGGCAGGGGAGGAAAAAGAAATGAAAGCCACTGCTATGCAAAATTTCTTTTAAGTATATGCCAAAGGTTCTCAAAATCTGAACGGCTCATCTAGGGAGTCCCTGGAACTCTCAGGGGACCTGCAAGATTGAAACTATTTTGAAAATAAAATTAAAGCATTGTCTGTTACCTAGAGGTGTAGCTCAGTGGTAGAGCACTTGCCTAGCATGTGCTGCAAGGGTTTGATCCGGTACTGCAAAAAAGAAAAATTATCTTTGACAAACCATTTAAAATTATTACTGTTATTAAGTCTTGACCTTTGATTAGGCATCTTTGCAACATTCCACATGACTAAATTGGAAGTATACATGAAATTCCTTTGTTCTGTACTAGAGTACAGTGGCTTTCTCAGGGAAAAATTCCTGTGCAGTTGTTTGAACTGTGAGCTGAACTAGCTGCTTTTTCATGGAACACCATTTTAACTGGAAATCATGACTAAAAAACTATCTGTGCCTATGCAGACTTAGGTATGTGACAGACGTTTTCTGAAAAAGGAACCGAGCCCTTCACTTCAAGCAAAACTGCAACTGCTAGCATTTACTGCTGGTATCACAATTTAAGCTTTCAAACACAAATTTGAATTTTGGAAAACTTGTGTCTGCCCACATGAATTTGGCTGATTCCCAAATTTAAAGATTGTCCTTATGAGATTGTTGGTGATATTAACAAATGTTATGTTTATGATATTATATAATGATATATGTCAACATTAGAAAAGACTATACAAGCCAGGCATGGTGGCACACACCTGTAATCCCAGTGGCTTGGGAAGCTGAGGCAGGAAGATCATGAGTCCAAAGCCAACCTCAGCAATAGCGAGGCACTTAGCAACTCAGTGAGACTCTGTCTCTAAATAACATACAAAATAGGGTTGGGATGTGGCTCAGTAGTCAAGTGCCCCTGAGTTCAATCTCCAGTACCATCCCCACCCCCCGAAAAAAGAAAGGACTATATAATTTACTGAACCAACATTTTCTAAATGGCTTGAGTACCATATTATAAGATAGTACCTGAGTTAAAGATTCTTTCAAAATACAAGAAAAAAATTTTTTAATGTAATGAAGTACAATTTTATATTAGCATCTATAATATTAAAATGTGTTTGATTTAAACATTAAAGTCCATAACCTTGTTTATTTATGGTTCATAAATTTTATTGATGAGGTTGCAGATTTCATGTGACATTTAACTTCAGAAACTACCATGTGTTGAGTTTTGGTAGAATACTACAAGAATAATATCCACAATTATGCAAAAAGGGTATTAAATTACTACGATTTCCATCTAGATATCTTTGTAAGGTTAAATATTTTTTGCACTTAAACCAAAACAACATATTGCAACAGGTTGAAAATAAAAGCAAATATGAGAAAATAATTATCTCTATTGTGCCAAACATCAACAAGATTTTTAAAAAATCTCCTTTACATTTTGTACAATTGCTCTCTTTTAAGTTTGTTTTTGAGTTTTATTTATTTATTTGTAGATATAGTATTTGTCATGAAAAATCTGCTTTTGAAGTGGAATTGGAAGTTCACATTTTCTACCATCATAGTAAAAGATTGTTTTAGGCAGGAATGTTAAATCAGAGGGAAATTTGAATAAAAAACAGGAGGTTTATGGGTATTAAAGTATCTCCTCACATGCTTACAAGTTACAAAAGAAAAATAAAGAGGAATTGTTTGGTGGAGAAATCAACATCACCTTGAACTGGTGATCAAAGTCAGCCTCTAGTTTGAGGAACATATGGACAAAATGTACCTCCAGATGTGATGGCCTTAGAGAGAGAGTGTTGCAGCTGAAAATCCACAGGCTAAATCAAATCATGAGCAAACATTTGAGACCAAAATATGAAGTTTTCTTTTAAAAAACTACATGGTAACATACTTCAAAAATATCAAGATCAGAAAATACAAGGTATAGAAATGTTGTGAGACTGGATGCTGTATTAGAGGGAGAGAAATACTGAAAGGGCATTATTGTGTTAAGTTGAAAACTGGAATATGGATGGTAAAGCACTCTATCAATGTTGAATTTTCTGGCAAATGTAGTGTGATAGTAAGAAAATACTCTATTTCTTAGGTAATAAACATTGAAGTTTTAGGGGCAAAGGGCCTTGATATTTTCAAGTTACTTTCAAATGATACAGGAAAAGTTATATATAAATGTACATTTACATATTTCTGTATACATACATACATTTGATGACATGAATATGTTCACAGAGTGCACAAGGACTCTCTGAACATATTCATGTCATCATATATAATTATATAGACGTGTAGTTATAACCAAAGTAATTTTTGCTTACAATTATATGTCTATATACCATACAAAGGAACCTAAAATGATTTTTAGAATTAGCAAAATATTAATAATAGATGTATATAGATAAATAGTACACAGTTGCTCCTTGTACTATTGATGTTCTGTTAAATATTCAGTAAATTTGAATAATTACCAAATAAGATATCTAAAAATTTAAATGCGGTTACATTTTACAAACTATTTAATGAACTTATGATTGTTTTTAAAAATACATATTTAATTTTGGGGGGATTCTTGATAAATTTTGGGTATGAAAGTCACAGAGGCCAAGGACCATTGGTGCACACTGTGGATGGGTAGGTAGGGCTCTTCTCACTATCTCAAATCTATTTTATGACATCAAGGAGAGCTGATTTGGTAGAACCCATTTACTAATATTATAATCCAGGGCAAGCCATTTAGTCTCTCTTAACTTTAGTGTCCTTCTATGTAAAGTTCAATCACTTGTTTTGTATACAGACCTTCAAGTAACAAGCCCTCCACAGTGCTATCTTTATGGGTGACCTGTGTGTTTCTGTGTTCTGCCATGTCATTTTGTGATTGGCAAGTAATTTTTGGTTATAATTATATGTCTGTGTACCATCACAAAGAAACCAAAAAACATTGTCAGGATAGTTCTTTAAAATACAAGTTTTCATGCCCCTACAAACAAAATGGTTGGAGACACATAGAAATGTAATGATGAACCTTAAAAAGAAAGTCATATAGGAACCATGCATGGTGATGCTCACCTGTAACCCCAGCTACTCAGGAGGCTGATATAGGAGGAACAAAAGTTAGAGGTCAGATGTAGAAAGTTAATGAAACCTCATCTCAGATTCAACAAGAGCTGGGGATATAGCTCAGTAATAAAGTGTCCTTGGGTTCAATCCCTAGTACTGCCAAAGTATAGCAGGTAGAGTTGAGGAAGTAAAGATGAACAAGCGGAGATGTTTGGAAATCCTTGATTTTAGGAAGAGCCTGATACACATAGGAAGTTGAACCAACAATTGTAAGAAAAGTGGTTGATAGAGGATTTGCACAGGAAACACTTTTCCTCTGGGTGGGGGTGGACTATCATGACCTTGTTTAGCCCTGGTTCCACTGGCTTTTCAATCTCCAGATATTCATCCTCTCCTCTAAGTGGATATGTCTATATCAAATTAAGTTGTAATGATATTCATTTACAATAAATATAAGAAAAAATAGTGTTGTTTTTGTGTCATTTCTAACATTTCCCCTAGCATCTATACCTCACTCTATTAAGCATAAAGCCAGTGAAATGTATAGAAAATGAGATTCTTGAAATATATGGTGGTCACCTAAATCCAAATTCAAATGATCACCATCAGAGCAGAGTTTTGTGTTGTTTGCTATGCAGTTTGTTGTGTTTTATTCTTTTTTGTTTTATTGTGATTTATTTCTCTATATTTAAATTTTTTTCTTTTTCCTTTTTAAAACAGATCATCAGAAACTGGAAAGGGAAGCTAGAATCTGCCGTCTTTTGAAGCACCCTAATATTGGTGAGGAAATATTTTTAATGTATTTTAAGTGCTAATTTAACATGGATGTACTATATTAGACCACAATAAAAATGTTAACTTTAATAAGTGGAATATTTACAACTGTTAACAAATAGATTCCTACCTTTTGGTTTTAGTTACATTTGATGCTTCATAGTTTTTAATATGATTGTTTATTTTTTGATGCAATTGTTTTTTTTGGATGCAATGTTTGAAGCAGGAATGGAAAATTAAAAACTATCTCCACAAATTAAACTAATCTTAGTTTGTGGAAATTAATATATTAATTAAATCAATAGTGTATGGTTCCTGTTGTGCTTAAAATTGACTACATAGCAACCAGTGAAAATACTGAGTGTAATTTGTAGATTAAGTAAATGAAAATTAGATAAACCCTGGCTATATTATATTAGCTTTATTTTAATGACATGTTTTGGAGTCTGTTATGTGAATTAATTCCAGTGTCTCTCTGTGGAGTCATTTGAAATGAAAATGATAATCCCTTACCTCATTTGGAAAATAGTCTTAAAGGTAAAAATAAAACCAGTATACCCATTTTTGGGAAGATATATGTAGACAATTTTAAGCAGAACAGGAACCATACACTATTGATTTAATTAATATATTATATATATATATATGTATATATATATATATATATATATATATATATTTTTTTTTTTTTTTTTCCAAGAAGTAGTAATTGGGGTTGGGGATGTGGCTCAAGCGGTAGCATGCTTGTCTGGCATGCGCGGGGTGCTGGGTTCGATCCTTAGCACCACATAAAAATAAAATAAAGATGTTGTGTCCACTGAAAACTAAAAAATAAATATTAAAAAAATTCTCTCTCTCTTAAAAAAAGGAAGTAGTAATTGTATATAAATTAACAGTTTAAAAAATAATATGTAGTAATGTTGAATAATGTTTTTTATGTATAATTAAGAATTATTCATGTGCTGCTGATGAAGCTTGGAGAGACAGAACTTGTGTGATTTATTCAGTCAGCTGATTTCCTTTCCATTTATTCTGTAAAAAGATTATCTTGTATTTATTAATTCTATTCTATAAACTAATAAAATTATTTTACAATATTATCCCTCATGAATTATAAGTAACATGATAGTTTACACAATTTAAAATGATGAATAATACAATAAGAAAAAGGGAAGAAACAGCGGAAAGAAAAAAAATATATACATAAGTTAGATTCTGTGACAATTTATTTTAGAAAAACTTTAACTGTCCCACCTCCCTCAGTTTTGTGAACCAAAGTATTTGTGATCTAGAAGTAGTGAGTAAAAATGATAATGTTATAAAATTTGCAAAATCATTGACTAAGAAGATTTATAGTTCTTTGGTTTTCACATGTAGAACCATTCAGTACCTATTTCCGACTTGAAGTTTTGAGTGTCCTGCATTTAGGTTCTTAAGTGAACAGATTAACTACTGAGTTAATCTGAAGCATACAGAAGTCTAAAAGGAAACTTCTGATATTGGAAGAGAACAAAGCAACTCTGAAATGTAAAATCTACCTGCTTACAAGAGCTTACCCCTGATAAAAGTCTATGGCGATTCTTGGTCTATGGGCTTGTAGGCAGCCATCTTCTCTCTGTGTGTTCACATGGCTTTCCTTGTGAGTGACATCTGTGTCTTCATTTTTCTTTCTTGAAGGATCCAAACCATGCTGGATTAGAGTTCACACTTATGACCTCATTTTAACTTAATTACCTCGTTATGCCCCTTTCTCCCAAAGACAGTCACATTCTGAGGTACTGAGGTAAAACTTGAATGTATACAACTGGTGGGATACAATTCAGTTCACAGAATTGGTGAAGAGAAATTGCATAATATTATCCACACTAGTTCAGTACTTTTCTTGCTCAGGTTTAAGAAAAAATGAAAGATTCGTTTGGTGAATTTGCATTTCATATGTGAAAGGATTGTTGTTTGTTTATTTTTTATTTATGTTAAAAATCCTTCTGTGAAATTCAGTTTCTGTTGATAAGAAAACTAGCTTCCTTCATTTTCCCCCTGGAAGATTAAAGTCAAATATTCTAACAACTCTCAAACTAGACAAGAACGGTTTTCATTTGGACACCACATACAGAATAACATTATCATTAAAAAAGGAAATGTTGTATACTGGGGGAAAGTTCTAGTTTTGTGACCTAGACAGCATCATCAACATATACACTGACACAATATGTACTTTTTTTCATGACTCTATAGTAACTAAACACTTTCTTGATTACCTCACTTGAAGGTTTTTCCCATCTCAACCGATTTCAGGAGTACAAAAAGAGATATGGGAATTCCAATTCTTTGAATACTAGTAGGATTGGCTTCTAGCCACAGGAGAGACTTTTTTTTTTAGTGATTCTGTGCTTCAGGACATATAAATTACAGATTAAATTTGTACAACAGGATCTCAAAAGTCCTAATACCAGAATCCATCTATATCATTCATTTCCTCAATAAGCTACTGATGGGGAGTATGGGCGGAAAGAAGGCAGACCCATGTCCCTGCCCATATGAGACTGTGCTGTTGCAGGAGATGGCAAATGAATAAAGAAGGTTAGATAGTGATAAACTTAGGGGGAAAAGAGAAAACAGGGAAGGGAAATACAGAACATCATGGGATTCCAATTTAAATAGCTAGGTAGTACCACATCAAGGAGAAGGTGACATTTGAGTAAAGACCTACCAGCCAGGAAGAAGCAAGTCATTCAGTTCTTTTGGGGGTGGGGGACCACGTGCAGGCAGAGAAAATAAATAGCCTCTGGAAAGGCCCTGAGGCAGGATCTTGCCAGTGAATTCTACCAAAGCTTTTTATTTAATTACAGAAGTAAGGGTAACTTATTTTTTCTTTTGTCTTGGCTATTTTAATTGATGAGTCTCCAAGTCATGTAATCTGGTAATGTAGTATTTACTCCCATAAAGAACAGTGATTTTAAAAGAAAAACAGTGACAATTGTCAAGAAAGTAGGCAAAAGCCAATAAACAGATAGTTTAAAGATAGATGCCACGAATGGTCAGTCAGAATGTGATCCTATGATACCAGGGACAGGCCAGTAGTGTGGTGAGCAGATGGCTTCTGTTCCCTTTGGGATCATTGTACCTAGTTAGTACTATCATTGTACCTAGTTAGCAGTACCCTGTAGATCACCAGCACTTACTACCAAGTCCCACTGCACAGGGAAAATAGCATCTGGCCTTGACTTCCCTGAAAGGCATAGTGTGATGTCTATGTAATATACGACCCCATCCTCTTCTTCCTTTCCTCTATTTTATTATTTGTTCTGTTATTTTATTCTTTCCTCTATTTTGCTACTTAAGCTCTGTTAAGTTTCAAAACCTCAAGGAAGGAGATACTATTTCTGACAATTTTTCCCCTGTGAAAATTTGCTTTTCATTTTTATGTGTTTTTCTTTTGGCATAGAATCAATAATCTTGAGAACTTGCAGCAAGTAAAAGGTTTCTCCCAAAGAAACACATTTTAAACCAACCTAAAGTGGTAATTTATGAAACCACTTTTTTTTTCCCCAGGGTTATTTTTTAAGTTTTTCTGATCTTAAAATTCATATACACATTTAATGGAAAATTTGGAAAATACAATGATGTATGAAGATGAAACCAATGAAGACAATTTTTAATTTTTATTTTATACATTTCTACTTTTCATATTAAATCTGTGTGTATATGTACATGTATATATATGCATATTTGTGTATGTGTATGTATAAATTTTCAACATTCTCTTGTACACATTTTCATATCCTTTCCGTAGACCATGAG